CCCCTCACCTCCCCCTCCTCCATCCCTCCCGCTCTTTCTATCTGTCTCCCTGTCTTCTCCCAAGGATTGTGTACTCTGGCCCAGCCGCCCGCCAGCACTGACGGAACACGGTGGGGGGGAGTGGTTATAGTCTCGTTAGAAAATGTCGGCGGAAGGTAAATCTCCCGCGCTTCGCCCTGGCACACCGCTCTATACCCAACCAGCCCGCCTCGGCGGCGACAGCGGCGCTTTCGCGCTGTTTATATTTCAGACAATTAAGTTGACGATTGACAAGATGTCGTGCAAGATTCGCTTCACTACTCGAGGCCAAGCAGCAGAGAGCACCGGTCTGGGGAAACCAAGCTCGGTTTTCTTTGCCCCTTGCCGAGCACTTACTTTCTTTCTTATTGTTTGAGATGATTATAATCCGAGGAGGGGAATTCCTGCCGATAGAAACGCGAGCAGTGCAATTCCACCTTTATTACCCCTTCTTTACTCTCAGACGGGTAGAGGAGGAGGAGGGGGGGGGGTAGAGAATCGGGTCGTCGAGCTGCTTGGTCGTCGTCGTGTTTGCGCGCGGGGAAACAGTTTGACCGTCGTCCGGGTCTGGGTCCGGGGCTCCCTTCCCGTCCCTTTTCCTTCTCCAAACCAACTCGTCTTGTTTTTGTTGCAGACTGTGGTGAAGGAGATGAACCGCCTGGGCATGCTGGTGGACCTGTCGCACGTGTCGGTGGCCACGATGCGCGACGCGCTCGAAGTGAGCCGGGCGCCCGTCTTCTTCAGCCACTCGTCCGCCCGGGCGCTGTGCAACTCGAGCCGGAACGTGCCCGACCACATCCTGGCCACTCTGGTGAGTGAGTGCGGTGTCAAAGGGGTGGATGGTGGGGGGGAGAGGGAGATAGCAAAAACTCCACGGGGTAGACCACCTCCCCACTTTAAAACACGTGGCTGATTGGCAATTTATCTTTATCCATTACGTTTTTTCTTGTTTTTTTGAGTGTGTCTTGCTTGCTATAATCTGTTGCTCTAGAACTTTTTTATTTTTTATGTGCTGTGTTCTGTTTTTTTTATTATTGTTTTTTGTTAATTTTTTGTTTGTTGTGTTTTAATTATTTATTTTTTCCGCGGCGCAATCTGTGCGGTGTTTACGAGGAGCGCCTGCGAACCTGCAGATAGGCCCGCCCGCTGCACACCGCCGCACAGCTGGGTCAGCTGGCACAGCTACGGTCCTCAGGCGCTCGCCATTCCCCGCTCGTCCATTCACGGCACTGCACGCGTGTGTAGTATTCTCCGGAATTTAAAAAAAAAAAATATATTTTTGGGAGCTGAAACCGGGGGAAATCACTTGCGAAATAGTTCGTATACCATTCCTCGAAATAGTCCGATATTAAGGCGAGATGAAGGCGAAATAGAGCGAAAAAGACCTGAAGTTGACGCGAAATAGTTGGTGAAATAGTCGCGAAATACCCCCCGAAATACTGTGAAATACCGCGAAATAACCTGAATAAATAATCCGAAATAGGCGAGAAATAACCGAAATGGCAAGGGAAATACCACGAAATAGTCCATACGCTACGCACCCAAGTGATTATCCCCTGGGGTGAAACACACTATTATCATTATTAGTTAGTTTTTAAATAGACGGTGGGGTTGGTCGCTGCGAGGAGCGCGCCTGTGGGCTTGCTGATAGGCCGACCCGTCGCACACCAGCGCACTGCGGGATGGCCTACCCTCGACCCCGCAGGCGCTCCCCACCCCGCCGCGCCGCCCGCCTCCCTCTCACCTGCAGAGAGTAAAACACCGCGGTTCGAGAGAACGCGGGGAGCGCGCGCGGGGGACGCGTACAACGGGGGGAGGGGAAAGGAAATCCCTCGCCGCAGTCCCACCGGCCCCGCGGCCCTCTGTGCCGAGCCGCGCCAACGTCCTTGCTACACAGCCGCACCCCCCCCCTCCTTCCTCTGGGACGTCTGTTTTGCTAAAGAGGCTAACTTGTTCCAGTTCCTGCTGCTCCTCCCGCGCTCACGCCATAAGGGGCGCTGACTCGCCGTTACTATTTAATTCGTTTCCTAAAGATGTTGTTTACGCATTGCTGAAAGAGTATGGCGATGCTGTCGTCACCGGAGGTGGATTTTGTAGGCATAAAATTTTGGTGGCTAATTTTTGCCTCTGATGCGGCAAATCTGAGTGACGACAGTGTCACAGTCAATTATTCTCATCCGCATGAATTAACTTGTAAAATTAAAAAAGGTTTGTACCTTCACCATTGTGTGTTGTGACCCCACAATTCGTCTTCTTTTTGGGGGTGTACTTAAATTCGAAATGGTCGTTTCTGAAAGATGTCATTCATACGATTCATAGAGTGCTCGTTGGGATCACAATAACACACTGGTCTAATTATAAAAATAATAAATTATAGTCCAAGAATGTATTTTTGCATTATTTTTTTTTTCTTTGTGAAAAACTGTAGATCGCACACAACTCTACATGAGCCGGCACGGATGCTCTCACTAGCGGGGGCAGCCAGAGGCTGCGCGCAGTGCTCCCTTTGTCCGTCCCGTGCACGCGGTCACAGCGCGTGCCCCCTGCCCCCTGCCCCCTCCTCCCCTTCCCCTCTGCTGCTGCAGAGACTGATCCGGGACTGATCGCTCGTGAGCCGGAGTGGCGCCGAGCGCAGCGGCGTGGGTCGGAAGACAGATGATCCGTGCGCCATAGTGGCTTACAGCGCGAGAAGCAGCGTGCGTGTGAGAGTGCCGTGTGCGTTTGAGAGAGAGAGAGAGAGAGAGAGAGAGAGAGAGAGAGAGAGAGTAGGGGGGGGTGAGTAGGTGTGTGTGTCGTCCCCTCACCCGTCACCTGCAATACACTTACCCGTAGCAGAAGGAAAGAAATGTGAAAAAAAAAATACGTTGCTAAAAGACGTAGAATCTAACACAGAGATTTGTTCCTAGTTATAACTTTGTTTACTACAGATTTTTTTTTGTTTTTATCTTTCCAGATGCTTGACTCATTCCTCTCTCGTGATCCCTCTCCCCTACCCCTAAACCTCGCTTCCCGGCCACGTCCAGTCCGTCACTGTCGGCACGAATCGGGATTGGTTGGATTGGTCCCGCTCCCCCCTCCCCTTTACCTCTCACCCCCCTGCCTGCTGTTCACACTAATCTGCCCCCCACCGCCCTTCCCCGCACACCAGCCCGTGTTAACCCCCCCCCCCTCCCCACCTCGTGCAGTGATGCAGGCAAGCTGCTGCTGCTGCTTCTGGTTTGAAATCGGCACCCCATCTGAGTAGGCTGTTCCGTCTCTGTCACCAGGTAATGGGAGGGTCTGCTGGTGCGGAGTGGTTTGGGGAGGGGCGGGGGCTGACAGGTTCGAACCAGAGAGCAGTTCACTTCAGCCAAAGATCGGGCACTGAGAGACTGGTATTTCGGAGTACACTTGCGCTGATATCTCTATGACAATTTCTTGCTTCCCACTGATTATTTTCTTGTGTATTTGTTAAAATGTCATCTACTTACTATTTTTACCTAAATCCGTCAATATTCCATCGGTCGTTCCCCTGTGGCCGAAAACTAATTTCTGCTGTTTTGTTGTTGTTTTTTTCCAAAACGCTCCAACTTTTGCTATTAATAGTTATCGCAGATGATTTTTTTCCATTATCGGTTTGACGCGGGGTGGCTGGACGGCTGGACGCTGTGACGGACGCCACCAGTAGCGCGGTGGCAGCAGCAGGCGGAGGTTGTGATAACATCAACATTGATACCTCGGCCCCGCCAGCCTCGCCCCC